ATAATAATAATAATAATAATAATAATAATAATAATAATAATAATAATAATAATAATTGTAAAAGTACTAACCATTCTTGAATATATTCCTTTGCCCAGGTATTTTTAATATTTCTTCGTGTAATGTAACAGGTTTAATATACGAATCGTTGCTTAATTTATTGCAACCTGATTTACCCGCTAATATAAATTGATCCTCAGGACAACACTTTCTAATGCACAATTTATCCGAACATATTCGTTCGTTGTAACAGCCACGTAAAATTAGTTTCCCGTTAGAAATAGTTGATTCCGGTGTTAACTCGTAACAGGAATTATTTTTCGTTAATTCGATTTGATCCTTTGTAAATTCATTTTGATTGAGTGACATCGGTGTTACCTGGAAAAAGAAAGAAAGAAAGAAAAAAAAAAAGATAAATAAATAAATAAAAAAAAAATATATATATATGATATTGCACCGACACATATTAAAAAATTCATCTTCCTGCGAAATATGTTTGCCGAGTACAAACGAGAAACATAAACGAAAGAGAGGAGGAAGATAGATAGATAGAAGCATATACAGGGTGTCCCAAAAATCCATTTAGTTCAATTAATAAATTACACAAATATTTATTAACAAATATATGAACGTGTATTAGGAACTTTGTGTTAATAACAATCATTATAAGAAGTTTATATTCTCGACAATGATAAATGAAATATTTTTATTATATTGATATCATTTTTTTAATCATTAATTACGACTCTATTGGTAAAACAAATATTTTTCTCTTTCTTTTTATATTTGTTTTTAATAATACAATATCAAGTGTTAGATAATATTTAATATCTTTAAATAAATTTTATATATATAATTATAATTATATTATTATTTATATTATAATATAATTATATTTAATATTATAATTAATATTTTATATTATAATTATATAATTATATTAATATAATATATATAAGTATATTTAATAATAAAAGTTTAACACGTTTGTTATCTAATTATTTGTACCACCAAATACAAGACACCCTATATATATATATATACATGCAATAATTTGTTTATAACACTCGGTACATATTCGATAATAATATAATCGCACATGAATACACTCAATATAAAATTTCCTTGAAAATGTGTGAGTCATAGATTAGAATTATACCAGGATGAATAATAATGCAAACAACATGAAGATTCGATATCACAACATTACTGTGATTTTTTTTTATTTTTCATCTTCTTCTTCAACTTCTATTCTTTTTATTTCTTTTTTATTTAAGGAAAACAAAGAAAAAGAAAAAAAGAAAAGGAATATAAAACGTGAAAGAGAGTATACTGTTTTTAATGGAAAAGTAAAATAATAATATAACGTCTAATGAAGATATGATAATGAAAAAGTTGTGAGAATAAACTTCATTCGATAGTTTCTCTTCTTCTTCTTCTCCTTCTTTTTCTTCTTTGTATTATTTGTATACAATTAAAAAAATAACGAACAGTAACCCTGATAGTATTATCGAATTTTCGCGATATCAATAAATCCTATCTCATTTTTATTTCATTTTATTTTATTTTCGATTTATAATTAAATCGTTATAAAATAATTATTAT